GTCTTAAATGCATGTCGGAGATCTTCTTGAGGCTTCTTGGGGGTCTCTTGGGAGCCTCTTGGAGGCCTCTTGGGCGCCTCTTGGGGCCGTCTGGGCGCCTCTTGGGGCGCTCTTGGGGCGCTTTTGGGGGCTGTAGGGGCGCTCTTGGGGCCATCTTGGAGGAGATCGATCAACGAAGGGGGGGTCCCTAATTAGCCTCCCCCCTCAGGAGCTCCAAACATCGCCTCTTGGGGCGCTCTTGGAGCGCTCTTGGGCGCTCTTGGGGCCCTCTTGGGGCTCTCTTGGGCCTCTTGTGGGGCCCTCTTGGGCCATCTTGGAGCCATACTGATGCCTTGGATGGCCATCGGAAACGATACGGGGAGAAAGCAAAACACATTGATTTCCCTAAGGTTTTGGGACGATTTTGGCCTCTTCGGGGCCTCCTTGGGGAGCTCTTTGGCCACTTGGAGCCGTCTTGGGGCCGTCTTTGGGCCTCTTGGAACCATCTTAGGAGCCATCTCGAGCGATCTTGCGCTATCTTGAGCCATCTTGGAACTCATCTTGGGCTCTCTGACGCGCTCTTGAAGCCATCTTGGGGCCAAAAGAGCCGTCCGACCGCCCGGGGAACCCTCCGTCCAGGTCCAGGGGAGGGGGTAGGGGGAGGGGTAAACCTTCCCCAAGGGGGAGGAGGGAGGGGTGGAAGAGGATCTGTTCTAGACCACCTACGCCCAGAGGGCTGGTGGGATTTCCAAGACACCTTAACCCACAACCCAGGCACGGTGGCGGGATGGGCCAAAGGCCATTTTCGGGAACGTGAATTGAGAACCCGAGATCTTCGTCCCATGAGACCCCCAGGAAGGGTCAAGAGATCCCCAAGAAACTTGGGGACATATCGCTGGTCGACCGGTCGATGAGAGCGTACGAGGAGGAATGAGGACGAGGCATTAGGAAGCACATAATGTTGACCTCATTATTCATGACCGCCTTGTTGTCTCAATGCGGCCAGCACTCGACCAGCTAGAACCTATGCGCGCGCGAAGCGCGCAATGGTGCTAGTGAGTACATATTTATATATATATATATATATACATATATATATACAAGTGGCACGTGTGTGCCCAGGCTCATACAAAAAACTGAAGAAGCGTTTGAAGCAGGAGTGCAATGCAACAGCGAAGTCTCACTCGAGCGCAAGTGGGGTTGCCACACCTTGCGATGTGTGTACCAGGGCCCCCCAGGAAGCCTCAGGAGGCCCGACTTGGATACCAGAAGAGGCTCCAGGAGGCCCCAAGATTGTGAGTGTTGTGTGTGTGTGCGTGCGTGTGTGTGTGTGTGTGTGCGTGTGTGTGTGTGTGTGTGTGATGTGTGCTCTGTGTTGTGCATGCTTTTTGTGCGTTGTAGGTGTTGTTTGTGTTATGCTTGTCTAGCGTGTGATGTGCTGGGCGTGATTTGTGTCTCTGTGTGTGCATGTAGTTCTGAGGCCCCAGGAGGCCCCAGGCGGCCTCAGGAGGCCACAGGAGACCACAGGAGGCTTCAGGAGGCCCCAAGAGGCTCCAGGAGGCCGCAGGAGGCCCCAGGAGGCCCCAGGAGGTTTCAGGAGACCCCCAGGAGGCTCCGAGGCAGGGTCTGGGGTACCAGAAGGTTCAGAAAGCCCCAGGGGGCCCCAGGAGGGTCCAGGAGGCCCCCAGCAGGCTCCGAGGCGGGGTCTGGGGTACCAGAGGGTACGTCGGGGCTCGATGTTGGGAGGATGTTTCAGGCGAAACCGCCATTCTCTGAGAATCGGGGTCGAAATTCTTCACTTCACCATGTGGTTTTGAAGGTTTTATGTTAAAAATGTTGAAATTCCCATGTGTTGTTGGACCCTGACGTCGCGATCTGCGTGAGGGGTGCCACCGATTTTCATAATTGCGAGGATGTCCCGAGCGACACGGCCAGACACATCGCGAACGCCCCGCGTACGCATTAATCGCCTCTGAGCTCTCCTCCCTCGGAGAGGTGCGTATGAGACTCTATATCTATATATATACATACACAGATGTGTGTATTTATATATATATATACATATTCACATACATACATACATACATACATACATACATACATACATACATACATACATACATACATAATACATACATACTTACATATATGCATGCATACATACAGGCATGCATACATACATGTATATATCTGTATGTACATATATAGACGGGAAATCCAACATATTGGAAACCCCATGCGAGGGCAGTCCTACGGAATACGATGGGAGGAGCGTGGGAGTACGATCGGATGCCTACGGGATGCTATAGCACTTCTACGGAATTCCATGGGAGCGGTGTCGGTGGGCTACAGGACCCTTGCGGGATGTTTTAGCTGTATTGCGGAACCCTATAAGAAGGGCGCGGGAGTGCAATCGGAACCCCTCGGGATGCCATAGCAACCCTACGGGATCTTACAGGAGGGGGAGGTATATGGGGTGCTATAGAATCCGTTCGGGATGCTATAGCACTCCTGCGGAATCGTATACGGGAGGTGTACGATTGCTATTATATCCATACGCGATGTTATACGGGCCATACGGAATCCTATTGGAGGGGCATGTGCGTGCTATTAGATCGTTACGGAATGCTGTAGCAGTCCTACGGATCCCCATAGGAGTGGCGTAGGAGTGCTACAGGATCCCGACGAGATGCCATGGGATCAGGATTCAGACGAATCCTGTAGGGGGGTGCAAGATTTTTTCGAAAGACATATGGTTCATATGATTACGCCCATTAATCAGGTGTGAACGAATCGTAACTTGTATTCGGTTCTCATCGACTAATATCGGCGACCAAACACAGGTTCCGGCCAACGATGCGCGGAAAATCACAGGCCATAGCGGATGCGTGACCCCCCTACTATTATGACAGACCTGCTACTACCACTCGTACAGCCATTGCTTCTGCTACTACTACTACGACGACGACGATACGGTTCTTATGGTTACTATCACAACAACTACTACGACGACGACTGCCACTGCTATTGATAGGTTTTACAACTTTTATTAAAGCTATTCTTACGATTGCTACGATTACTTTTACTGCGACTCTTACTACTACGACGTCTGCTTCTACTGCTACCATTCAAGTTGGCATTATCACTTCCACTATTATTCCTTTCGCGATTTCTACGACCACGAAACGTATTACTACTACGACCTTGGGTACCATTAAGCCTACACCGTAGATCATCACAACAACAACAACTACTACGACTACTACTACTACTATTATGACTACTACTACTACTACTACTGCTACTACTACTGCCACCACGGTTCGTATGATTAATACTACGACTAACACTACCAGTAATCGTGGTAGTAGTAGTATTAGTAGTACTACTACCACCACTACGACAACTACTACGACCACCACTACTACTACTACTACTACTACTACTACTACTACTGCGACTACCAGTGCTACTACCAGTACCACTACCATTAGTACTACCACAGCGACGACGAGTTTGCGTTATTAGTATTTCTACAACTACGACGACGATCACACATACGATTACTTCTGCTACTACTGGTACGACTATTGTTTTTACCACGACGATTTCTTCTTTATGATTCTGTCATTGCGACTACGACTATTCCTACGACTATTACTACTACTAAAACGGCTACTGATACGGCAGCAACTACCAATTTCACTACGGGCACCTCTTACGATTTATAGTACTATTGCCACGACTACCATTGTTACCACCACGATCACAACTTCTATCGGTACGATTGGTACAACTACTACGGCTACGACTACTACTGCTTTTGCTACGAGGTCTGCCCCCTATCATGTTTACTCGTATTACTACTACGGCAACGATCACGACTACGACTATTATTATTACGACGACTACTAAGACTACTACTGCTATTACTAGTACGACCGCTATTAATTCGATTACCACTTCGTTTGTTACTACTACTACTACTACTACTGCTACTACTTCTACTACTACTACTACTGCGACTACTACTACCGCGATTACTAGTGCTACTACCGCTACTACTTCCACTGCTCGCGTTACGACTACGATTACAGTTTTCTTGTCAACGAACATTAATGTTTCATTTTTCTTTACGACGACGATTACTTACCACTACTACTACTTGGTCCTGCCACTGCTACGGCGACGACTATTGCTTCTACGACGACTACTAGTTTTACGCTTCTACTATCGCTGTTTCTACGACTACTGCTACCACGACAACTACTGGTACCGCAGCTGCTACCGCTACCACTACTGCTATATCTATGATCACAAGTGCTACTGCCACTCCCACTACGGCTACGCTTTCAGTTTTTACGAGTACGACTATTACAATGAGTATTCCTATTGCTACTACTACTGCTGCTAGTACTCTCTCTACTAGTAATACTTCTGCTGCTACGACCACGACCACGACAACAACAACAACTACTACTACTACTGCTACTACTACGACTACTAGTCTTACTACTACAGTTACTACTACTACTACTACTACTACTACTACTACTACTACTACTACCACTACCACTACCACTACCACTACCACTACCACTACCACTACCACTACCACTACCACTACCACTACCACTACCACTACCACTACCACTACCTACCACTACCACTACCACTACCACCACGACCTCTACTACTATTTCATGCGCGCATCCGCAGTATCATGTTCAGGAGAGGTAGGAGCCAGAGTCCCAATGAAATACCGCTGTGGAGGCAGAATAGGAAGGGGACGTTGAACATGAGAAGAACGAGTACGGATAGGAGAAGAAGGGGGGCAATCAAAACGAGGACTACGAGCAGCAGGCCGCGGTGGACCTCCCCTCCCCACCCTCCTCCCCCTCCCCCTGCATACACCTCCGCCTTCAACCTCCTCCATGTTTTTCATCCTCCTCGTCCCCTTCCCCCTCCCCTCCGCCGTCGTCGTTTTTACCTCCATCGGCGTCGTGTTCGTCGTCTTCCCCCCTGCCCCTCCTCCCCCTCCTCCCCCTCTTCACTCTTTCCGCCTCTCGCCGCCGCCTCCCCGCTTTCCCCCTCCCCTCGTCCTCCCCGTCGTCGTGGTCCTCGTCGTCCTCGTAGCCATCGCCGTCGTCTTCAGCGTCTTGACTATCGTGATCTTCAGCTTAGTGGTTATCTATGTCGTCTTTGCCTTGCCGGCCATCACTCCGGCCGGAGGTCATCGTGCCCGACTCGACGTGCCAGTCCAAGGCGTGCGCGAGGCCAGCGCACAATGCACAGTCCACCGTCGTCCCAAGAGTCGTCGTTGCCGCAGCCAGCGTCGTCGTCGCCGTCATCGCCGGGAGAGGAAGGAGAGGAGGAGGATGAAGAGGAGGAGGAGGAGGAGGAAGAGGAGGAAGAGGAGAAACAGGGGAGGAAGAGGCGGTTGGGAGGCAGGAGTGCGAGCGCGACGGGGGCTTCCAGACGGGGGCCACGGCAGTTCGGGATGCCTTCGGAGGTGCGAGAGGCTTATCCCAAGGCAAGGGAGGAGGGCCCGCCGCAGCGCGCCCTGGGCCCGATCGGATCTCGGACGCTATTCTAGAGGATTCGATCGGGCCCCATCGCGGGCCCGGTCGCCGTCGGATCCAAACAGATCAGACCGCGGCCGTGCTCGTCGCCGACCGACGACGCCGGCGACGAGGAGCAGGCAGAAGCAGGGGCGGAGGCGGCGAGGGATCGGAGGATGAGGAGGTGGGGGCAGGGCAGCGGTGGGAGGCCGAACCTGGACGACGTCGCCGAGATGCGTCGACGGCGAGGTCTGGATGAGGAGGAGGCTTAGGAGGAGGAGGAGGAGGAGGGGGAGGAGGAGGAGGGGGAGGAGGGGGAGGAGCAGATGGAGGGGGAGGAGGAGGAGGAGGAGGAGGAGGAGGAGGAGGAGGAGGAGGAGGAGGAGGATTGGGAGGGAAGGAGGGAGGAAAGCGGAGGAGGAGGAGGATGACGAGGAGGAGGAGGACGAGGAGGAGGAGGAGGAGGAGGAGGAGGAGGAGGGGGAGGAGAAGGAGGCCGCCGGGAGAACAGCGCGGCCGCGCGCGAGGCACCTGCGCTTCGACGCCAGCGCCTCCAACACGTCGAAGTTGGCGCGCCCGCCCGCCGGCTCCGCCTCCCCAGGGCCTCCGGCGTTCTCTCGAGCGGAGGCGCAGCGCGGGCGCCGGCGCTGTCGTGATGTCGGCATCGGCAGTTGGCGTGCGGTGGTGGGCGTCCACACGTTGTGCCTCCCTGGGCCAGGAGGCATGCCCCTCGGTCGTTGGAAGCAGGTTTTTGTGGATTCCCAGATTCCGATGTACTTTAAGCGCCTTCCTGCTTCAATGATCGAGTGGCTTCGCCATTTTCCGTCCTCGATAGGGGGGCGGGTGGACACCCAATTTGCCTCAACGCCTTCCTGCTTCATGTTTCCACCTACTTCTTCCGACCGATGGGTAATGCAGAGGTCTACGGGACGGGTCGAGAGCTCGTGGGCCCGCGTGTTGCCAGAGCAGAGAAGACATCGGGTGTCGGGGCACTCCTCTTGGCGGCATCCGAGTCCTCGTCCTCATCCTCGTGTTCACCCTGCTCGTCCTTCTCCTTTGTCGTTGAGGCGTTTCAGGCAATTCGTCCCAGCGCCGCGCAGATTTGTCGTAATGCTCTTCAACAGTTACATGGATGGAGGGCGTGTCGTTCTCAAACTTGGGCTATCGCGATCGAGCCGCGCACACTCGTCTCTCAAGTTCCCAGCAGCTACACGGATGGAGAGCGGCTTCTTTTCAACATGAGGTGTTAGCCAGAGATTGTCTGCAGCCTCGTGTACTGGTTACATGGATTGATGTCGGCACATCTTCAACATACAATTATCGTTTCAGATCCATTTAGCTGATATGCAGTGTTTGACCGGCTTGCCTGCATGGACCCAGGACACTGAATCATTTAATCGCTTCGCTCATTCCGCTGCCCCATGTAGCCTCATCTCTGCTGTTTGCCCGAGGGATCGTTGTCAATGCGGCGTTGGTGGGGTTTTCTTGGCAGGCGTTTCGGGAGTCTCTTGGAGGCAGTTTTGAAGCCTCTTGAGGTCTCTTGGGGGCTGTTTTGGGGGCCCTGGGGGCTTGTTTTTGGGCATCCTGGGGGCTTCTTGGGGCCGTTCGGGGGCTTCTTGGGATTTGGTGGTGGTCTCGGAGGTGTTCCTTAGGGCGGAAAGCTCAAAATGCCTTCGTGGGGGTGTGCTGGTCGTGGATGCTCACTCTGGGGCTTGTCGATGGGGGAGGGAACATCTGATGCGATGATGGAACCCTCGTGTCCAAGGGTGGCGGGCTTTGAATGCGATCATGTTTTTCTTCTTGTCCTGGTGTGCGCTGTCTACGTCCCGAGGCTCGTCACTGCTTACCTTCTCCCTCTTCTCGCAGTGTGTTCCCGGGCTTGTGTGTGGGGGTCGGCTATTGGATGGAGAGCGTGAGCGGGAGAGACAGATAGTTGGAGGTGGAGGCGGAGAAGACGTAGGACGAGTGAGACTGCATGGTAGAGCGAAGAGCTGCAGCGGGAGTAGGGGGGGGGATGGGATGGCGGATGTGTACATCGGCGGCGAGGGAGGGAGGCCCGGGGAGCATGGAGGCCCGGGGAGCAGGAGGAGGAGGGAGCAGGGAGGAGGAGGAGGAGGAGGAGGGGAGGAGGAGGAGGTGGAGGAGGGAGGAGGAGGAGGGAGGAGGAGGAGGAGGAGGAGGAGGAGGAGGATCGCTGGCACTTGCTTGGTGCTGGGGGGGCATTTGGGGGGCTTCCTGGGATCGCTAGGGGGCCTCTAGGGGGCCTCTTGGGAGCTTCCTGAGGGCCTGTTGGGGGCCTCTTGGGGGCCTCTTGGGGCCTCCTGGGGGCCTCTTAGGGCTACTGTTTCGAACTGTTTGTTCGTGTTCCCTCTCTGGGACCCCTGCATCCTTTCAAACGCAGACTTTGTATTGTGGCAAAGAGAACTTGGAGGGGATGAGGAGGAGGAGGAGGAGGAGGAGGTGGAGGAGGAGGAGGAGGAAGGGGTCAGGGAGGAGGAGGAAGGGAGGAGGAGGAGGGAGGAGGACGAGGCGGAGGAGGAGGAGGAGGAGGAGGAGGAGGAGGAGAAGGAGAAGGAGGAGGAGGAGGAGGACGAGGAAGGAGGTGGGAGGAGGAGGAGGAGGAGGAGGAGGAGGGAGGAGGGAGGAGAAAGGAGGGAGGATCGAGGAGGGAGAAGGGAGGGCGAGGAGGAGAAGGAGAAGGAGAAGGATGAGGAGGATGATGATCGCTGGCTGGTTGAGTGCTCGGGGGGGATTTGGGATGCCTCCTGAGGGCGCTTGGGGGCTTCTAGGGGGCCTCTTGGGGACTTCCTGAGGGCGTCTTGTTGGCATCTTGGGGGCCTCTTGGGGCCTCTTGGGATCCTCTTGGGGCGTCCTGGGGGCCTCTGATGGCCGAGAGTTCGAGATGTTGTTTCGTGTTCCCTTTCTGGGGCCCCCCTCTTGAGGCATTCTTGGGGCCCTCTTGGGCCGTCTTGGTGGCTTCTTGGACCGTCTTGGAGCCGTCTTGGGCCGTCTTGGGGCCCTCTTGGGGGCCTCTTGGGCCCTCTCGGGGCGATCTTGGGGGCCTCTTGAGTCGTCTGGGGGCGTCGGGAAGCCGAAAAGGTGGAAACGCCCAAGTCTGTCCAAAACCTACAGGCGGAGCAATGAATTTTGCTTCTGTGGGTTCTCTTGGGAGTGCTCCTCGAGGCCTCCTGGGGCATCTTGGAGGCCTCTAGGGCCATTTTGGAGGCTTCTTGGGCCGTCTGGATGCCAGCTTCGGCGTCGTGGAGCGATCTTCGGGCGTCTCGGGCCTCTCTTGGACCGTGTTGGGTGCCTCTTGGGGCCCTCTTGGGGCGATTCTGAGAGCCCTGGGGGAGTCTCCCGGGCCGCGCCCGGGCCGCGCCCGGGGTACTTTTGGTCCGGGGACCCCCAGGGGCCGCCCTGCGCGCGCGAAGTAAAAATGTTATATAGATGTTACCGGAGATCTTAGCACGCCTCTGGCCTGTTGGGCCGGCGAATTGCAGGTCGGATGCGTTATTTGTGTAGTGCATGTTGTGGTTCAACCTACATGGTGCAAGCCCTGAAGTGCAAGCATCGCAGTGCAATCTAAGTGGTGCAAGTCACGTAGTGCAACAGATAGTGTGATAGCTGCATGGTGCAATTCATCGTTCCACCAATGAGTTGTCAACCCCAACGCTCGCGCAGACATCCCATTTTCCCACCCGCCATTTGTTTGTCCAAGTCCATCTAGCCACGCTTGCGACTACAGATTGCAATTTGTTGGCGCATCTCCACGGCCGCGCTGGCGCTCCCACGCTCGCGTGCAGATCACCCAGGTGGTTTGGCACAGGTGATGCGGCCGCGATGGCGCTTAGCGGTGGGAACTTCCCAGCGCGCCTCTCTGGCGCGCGGGCACTGCAGTGTGGGTCGGTGACGCGGGCGGGCGCGGTATCATGATGACGCCGACAATGGCGGCAACGACGATGATAAGAGCGATGGTGGTGGCGATGATGATGATGACGACGGCAATGACAAAGACGCCGCCGATGCTTGTGACGGCGATGGCGGTGATAATGTGCATATGCATGTGCTGAAGGTGACTGTGATGAGATTGGCGACAATGGCGACGATTCACGATGACGATATCGGTGGTGGTGAGATGGCGCTGATAGGGGTGACGAGGAAGTGCACGCCCGCAGAACTCGAAGACATCTGGGAAGCCTTCTGTTCAACACCGATGGGCATCTCATATGACGATGAAGGGCTCTATCTTGACATGCTTGGAGCGCCCACGGGTCTGGAGAGATTTCGACATGCGCGTGTGGCGGTGCGAGCATGTGGCCCACGTGGTTTTATTTGGCAGGGCTTGCGGCCGGCGCCGCCAACCCTGAAGGGGGACGACGACGACGGTGGCGGCGGCGGCGACGATGCTGACGCTCTGGGGCCCTTTTTGCGGCTCTCTTGGGAGCCTATTGGGCTCTGTTTGGGGGCCTCTTGGGGACCCTCTTGGGAAGCGCCACTTGGAGCCGCTTCGGAGCAGATCCGGGCATGCAGGAAAACGCGCGACACCCCGCAACAGAAGATGCGACTGAGGAGGGTGCCTCCAGATGGGGGGGTCCGCGAGGAGCGGGGACGGCGGTTTCCTTGTCCACCAGGGGGAGGCGGGGGGGGGGGGAGTCCTGAGTTTCCCTTGTCCACAAAGGGGACCGCCCCCCGGTCCCACTTGTCCACAGGGGGTACCCCCTGTAGGTCGGGGCACGACCCCCTGGATCACCCCCGCTATCCCTCTCGGGACCTCCCCCGAAGCCTACCACGGACCCCCTTGCCATCCCCCCCCCGTCAGGGATGAGATCACGGGCAAGGGGCTTCCCATCGAATCCGCTGACCCCTTGGGGCTCATCGGCGTGTGAGATGTTTCCCCCTACCCAAACTCCTCCCCCGGGAGCCCGGTCCGGTCGATTCGGATCGGAGGGGGGCACCCTGGGGGCAGAGGGCCCGAAAACAAGTCAAGAGGGCCCCAAGAGGCCCCTGGGGCGGTCCACGAAAGCCACGAGTCGCTGAACGATTTTCCCAACACGCCCACGCTGGCCTTCAGGCGGCCTTCCAGGCCCCCAAGACGCCCCAAAAATCCCCGAAGACGCGTCCCAAGAGGGCCTCCAGAAGCAAGCATCCTCCGATTCTGGATGAAACACGTGTATTTTTGCATATGCGCCTCTTGGGCGTTCACAACGTCCCAGACGGCCCAAGAGGCCTTCAAGTTCGCCTTAAGGTTCCCAAGAGGCTCCAAGACGACCCAAGAGGGCCCCAAGACGGCCCAAAGCAGCCCCCAAGGGGCCCCCAATAGGCCCCCAGGAGCCCCAAGATGGCCGCAAAAAACCCGCAAGAGCCCCCCGGGAGGCCCCCAAGAGGTTCAAACATTGCCTCCAAGCCGAGACGCCTCCCACGAGACCCTATCAACCATCCGAGTGGCCTCAGACCCGCAACCCAAGCACGGTGGCGGGATGTGTGCCGAAGGCCATTCGATCCGCCGCCCCCTGTCGATTCATCGCAGGGGTGCCTGGCGTGCTGGATCCTATCGGTTTTGGTTTTGGTATTTTTCCGAAAGAACTCCCCCTGGGGCTCCGGCGCGTCCCGCCGGTTTCGCTCAAGATGGCCCAAGATGGTCTCCAAGATGGCCACGTTGACCCAAGATGGCCTCCAAGATGGTCCAAGATAGCCTCCAAGTCCGCCCAAAATGATCCAAGACGGCCTCCAAGACGGCCCCAGAGAGTCCAAAAAACCTCCAAGGCCGCACGAGAAGCCTCCAAGACGGCCCAAAACGACCCAAGAGGCCTCCAAGAGGTCCTCCGGGATGGCCCGAAGAGGCCAACATCATTGGTTTTCTCTAGGTTTTTCAAGGATTTTGGCATTTGCTTCTTCTCGGCATTCCGACGGCTTAAGGCGGCCCAAGAGGCCCCCAAGATCGCCTCAAGATCGCCCACGAAGCCTCCAAGATGGTCCGAAACGGCCCAAGAGGCCTCAAGACGGCCCCAAGAGGGCCCCAAGATGGGCCAAGAGGCCTCCAAGACGCCCAAGAGGGCCTCTAAGACGGCCCTGGAGCACCCCAAGAAGGCCCCAAGTCGGCCCAGAGTGGCCCCTCAAACGGCTTCCGACGGCGTCAGACGGGCCAGGAGCCCACCAAGATGGCCGAAGTTAGCTCTAGGCTAGCCCAAGACGGCCCAAGAGGCCTCCAAGAGGGCCTCCAGGAAGGCCAGAAGAGGCAAAACGCATGCATGTTTCAAGATTTTTGAAGGATCTTGACATTCAATTATTTTTGGGCCTTCCGACGGCCCGAGACGGCCCAAGAGACCCCTCAGATCGCCACAAGATCGCCCAAGAGTCCTCCAAGATGGCCCTCAAGACGGCCCAAGAGGCCCTCAAGACGGCCCCAAGACGGCCCCAAGAGGGCCCCAAGATGGGCCAAGAGGCCTCCAAGACGCCCAAGAGGGCCTCTAAGACGGCCCTGGAGCACCCCAAGAAGGCCCCAAGTCGGCCCAGAGTGGCCCCTCAAACGGCTTCCGACGGCGTCAGACGGGCCAGGAGCCCACCAAGATGGCCGAAGTTAGCTCTAGGCTAGCCCAAGACGGCCCAAGAGGCCTCCAAGAGGGCCTCCAGGAAGGCCCGAAAAGGCCAAAATCATTGATCGCCTATGAGTTTTTGAAGGATCAGGACATTTGCTTATTTTCAGCCTTCCGACGGCCCGAGACAGCCCAAGAGCCCCCTCAGATCGCCCAAGAGGTCTCCAGTATGACCCCAAAACGGCCCAAGAGGTCCCCAAGACGAACCTAAGAGGCCCCCAAGACGGCCCAAGAGGTCTCTACGACGCTCAAGATAGCCTCCAAGACGGCCCTGGAGCACCCCAAGAAAGCCCCAAGTCGGCTCAGCCTCCCCCACCGTGTTCCCCGAACGTTTCCCAAACCGACTCGGGGAACACATGGTCCGGTA